GCACGCACGCACGCACGCACGCACGCACGCACGCACGCACGCACGCACACACACACAGTGCACACATACTCCTTGCTTGTCCCGGAGCAGTTTTTCGTTCTCCTCTCTGTAACACCTCAGCTCCTCTGCCAGCTCCACCTGACTGTCGATGGCCTCGGCCAGGTCCTGGGCCAAGATGTCCTGCCGAGCCTGACGGGGACAAACAGACCAAAACGTAAAGACAAAAGCAGCGGGACCCAGTCAGCTGGAGGGTTCRGGAGTTTCTGCTCACCGGATCCAGTCTCTCTGCCTTCTCCAGCTGTGAACGCAGCTTCCTGACCTCCTCCTGCAGCTGGGGCGTCTCGGGAGCAGAATGACACCGGAGCGAGTGCTGCTTCTGGAACTCCTTCTCCATCTGAAGACTCTGGAGCTCAGTCTGCAGCTGGTACACCTGTGGTCACACGAGGCCAACASGTCATTCATGCTTTATTGGTCTGTCAGAAGGAAAGCTGCTTGCTGAGGGACAGTTGTGTATATAAAATGTGTTGTAGTAACATTTAACCTTTGTGTTCTTTAGATTTCCTTTTTTAGTGTTTGAGTTTTGTTGTGATTTTAAAAGCCACACCTGCAGGTTCAGGTCGTGGAGTCGCCCGCTCGTTGCAGATTTCTCCTCGACCACAGTGGTGTAGCGGATGTACAGGTCACACTTCTCGTCCTTCAGCTTGGTGACCTCCCGCTGCAGAGAGGTCAGGTGTCTCTGCAGCCGTTCAGCTTCAGCCTGCAGACGTCTGGACTTCTCCTCCTGCTCCATCAGCTGTCTGATCTCCGCCTCCAGGGATCTGCAGCGTGCACTCGTGGCGCTGGCCTCGCCTCGGGCCTCCTGCAGCTCGTTCTGCATCCCCGTCACGGCTCTGATCAGGTACTCGGTCAGCTCCGAGTACTTGATCAGTCCTGTAAGGAAGAGCGAGGCGGGTCAACAAGCTGCGAGTCCAAACAAAGCCAGGTGTTCTCCGGGCCACTGACCGCTGAACCTGGATGGTTCTGTGCTGGGTTTACGTCCCGTCACCTGCGTGTAGAGGGTTGGATAATGGATCATCAGGCCCTCCAGCAGGGCTATGGCTCCATTCCTCCCCTGGATTCTCAGCAGGTCCAACATGTAGCCTGAAAACAACACGATGGTGTCAGATTACTCACAAGGTGACAGAATTAGCAGATGATTAGCATCAAATCTAAACTGTTTGTGTAAAAACTGTTAACACCAGCTCATACATGGAAAGTCTAACTTCCTGTGCTACATTTAAACTYTGAATGATGTTTCTACTGTGAGAGGGCGGGGTTTACTAGCCTGTTTCACCAAAACAGTCAAACTTCTACCAAAACCCTCAGTTTTGGTAGAAGGGCCTGTTATGGTTCTCTGTTGAACCATAACTTACATGGTTTATTTCAAAGCTGTGTGACGATACAAACATTCTGAACAAAATACTAATGAAGTTGCTTTAATGCACATTTGGCACCCTTAAAAAGTGACTAATTTTTAATTCTATCAGAAATAACATTAAGAATAGAAGAATAACAGTCAGAAAATATAATCAGTTTTAGCAGCAGAACATGTTGATTTGGTCATACTGGTCTAAGACAGGGGTCTRCAACCTGCRGCTCTGGGGCCACATGTGGCTCTTTGAAAATGTGGCCAAACATAACAGAACAATTTTTTAAATCAATTTGTATGCAAATATGTGATCTATGGTAATACAAAAACTAAAACATGTTAGCTCATGCTAACTTGTTAAATAATTCAGCTTTTTTCTTTGATCTTTCTCTCAAATCCACCAGAATTACCTTAAAAGAGTTTGAAGACTACATAATAAGAATTAGAAAAAAAGCCTGAATAATTCAGATGTATTTTTTTTTTAATTTGGTAAAAACTTTTTACGGTATTTTTCTTGTTTACATGAATGTGGTCTTTTCATTTGTCCTTATGTGTAAAATAAAGATAAATAATAAAATTCACAATATATTTTTCAGTTTTATAATGTCACCTCCACTGGCCGTAAAGGTTCGCAAAAAGGCCTCTAAAAGGCCCACGGACCACCAGTTGATAATCACAGTTGTAGCTTGTTTTGCCTCTGGACACATTTTGTTACTGCATCAAGTAGCACACTGCAAAAACCGTCCATCTTACCAAGTTTTAAAATCTTATATCAGCCAAAAAAGTCTTTTTGATCTTGTTTTCAG